CTGGACCGACAGCCGTCCGTTGAGTCACTCCTGGAAGACTCTTTCCTCGCCGCCTGCAGCGACGCCAATCTCTCCGACACGACCTTCTCCAGCTTAGCCGCGGCGGAGAACCCGCTCCACATACAGTCCTGAATTATAATTGACTTCAGAAAAGACTGGGAGTAGTCCGCATCGCAAATAAAACTGTGGTTGACCACGTCGTCCCCCAGAAACTCCGAAACCATCTCCAGCTGGTCGGCAGTGGAGGGGAAGGGGTCTGACAGAGAGGGACGCCGGCTCGGGGAGAGGGGCGGAGTGGGGAGCAGTTCAAATTTCTTCCATATATCCTCACTGGGCGCCGGTGGTTGTCCGTGTTGGTGGTTATAGAAATCCTCCTCTTCGTTGTCGAAATAGAAATAGGGCTGGTATGAATCGTAGTCATAATCATAATTTTTACTCGCCATACTTGAATTCAGCGGCATGGTGAGTGCCTGTGAAGAAGAAAGCGTGATTAAGATCTTGCCGACTTGCCCTTTAAATATACATAGTGAGTGATTCATATAATGAAAACCTTCAGAAGTAGCCTACTGTTTTCTCTCATCAATTTACTGAACGTGTTAAGAAATTATGCAGAAGAAGTCATATAAACACATTAAAATGTCTAAATTCTCATTATTTATTATGGTCCAAAAAAGATGAAATGACAAATAGTTCGCCAAAAATATAAATGCAAATAAATGAAAACGGTCTATAAATGGTCATTCAGAAGGACTTACCGTAACTGTGGTGAAATTGAATGAAAACGGTCAATATGGTCAGATTTCAGTGAATGTGTAGTATCAAGTAAAAGTAAGTCCAAAGTGGGAGTGGGTCGAGCCGCTCACCCTGCGCACTTCTGCGAATGCAGCACCCGAGCGGCTGCTTGTCATTTACTGCAAGATTTCGAACAGCTGCTCCCGCGGGTTTTAATACTACGGATTGTTTTTTTTTCCACCTCCCTTACTCTAGATATTCTTGCGCCGTTCGCGCCAAATTTGCCTGACGCAGAAAGATGAACAGATCACAAACGTATCTTCTTAGTTATTCTGCTAACAGATTACCGAATGACAATGTATACAGCAACGAAAAAAGATCCTCAAGATGCGACCTTATTTAATGAAAACGAGTTACACATGGAACTACTTGTTATCGCGGACTTATTTCGGGGGCGGAGCTTTAATGAAAACACTGCACATTGAGTTGTGCATGAGGATAATTCCGAGAACTAGCACCCAACGCCTCTATTTACACATTTTACAAGTTCCCCTCCACTGATATCTGTCTGTGGTTTATGTTAAAAGGTTATCCAACCTAAAAATAAGCAAAAATGTAACTGTTGAATAAAATAAATCCACAGAAGCCCTTATCATCCTAATTAAAAATGCCTGATAATTAAATTAAAACAATCTGACGATTATTTTTGAGAATGAAAATCATTCCCTTTTATTGTACTGTTTGTTATTTAATTCAGTTATTTTTGCATTACAGTAATGCTGTCATTTATTAGCCTACTTATGTATAATATGATCATCATCATGATAACCGTTATTATAAAACAAATCAAGTCAGTATTATCACTGATTATCAAAATAAGAATGATATAGTGTTTTCGATCTTGACCTGGTCTGGTGGATGAAGGAGCAAGCATGTCTCGATTTATCCTCCCAGAAGTGGGTGATTCCCTCTGGTGGCCATCTGTAATAAATGCTACAGGATTAACAGCTAATTGAGTGAGATCTATTATGATCGGTCTGTGACAAACATTGAGTTTATCTGCAGTCATTAAGATATTAAATGATTGTTATATTGAACAGGAATCAAATATTTACTTTAAACCGTTTGAAGAGGACTTTAAACTGGCATTATATAGGCCTAGTTGTGTCCTGGCCCTGGGAACTGTTTCTAATCTTTTTAGGATTGTTGAATGAATGTTTGGTGTAGGCTATTGTTTTAATTATCACGTTCTTAATCCTTAATAATCCTTTACAATATTGTGTTTAGAATATGTCAGAATGTATTGTAGGCAAATAATAATATACAGTTTATAGGGTCGTCAAGATTTTTTAAAATGTTTTTGAAAGAATTCTTATACGCTTATCAAAAAAATAATTGATAAAAAATACAGTAAAACAGTAATATTGTGAAATATTATTACAATTTAAAACAACTGTTTCCTATTGTAATATATTTTAAAATGTAATTTATTTCTGTGATGCAAAGCTGAATTTTCAGCATCATTACTCCCGTCTTTAGTGTCACATGATCCTTCAGAAATCATTCTAATGAGATGATTTGGTGATGAGGAAACATTCCTTATTATCAATGTTGAAAACAGTTGTGCTGCTTTTGTGGAAACTGTGTTTTTCAGGAAAGAAACAACTTTGTAAGCAAAGTCAATTTTGACCAATTTAACCACATTCCAAAAGAACAAAAGCCCATATTATAGCCCATAAATTCATGATAAAATAGTCCATAAGACTATATTACAAGTCTTCTGAAGCCATATTAATAACTTTATGTGAGAAACAGAATTTTGTTCACGAAAATTGTGCCATGCTTTTCACTTTCATTCACTTGGACATTCTGCTATAAATAAATCTTTTTGTGTTCCACTGAAGAATGAAAGTCTTACATGTTTTAAACATGGTGCGAAGCAAGCCAGGCAAGGCAAGACATACTCAACATATAATGACGTAAGATATATGGCTGAGCAGATTCATCAGGCCTGACCCTCTCGCACAGGTCTACTTTACCAGACATGCAGCTCGACCCATCTTTTCTTAATTTGCAGAATGCCAAAGGCCCATGTTTAGTCATGAGAGAGGGCTTCAGAGTGCTGAGGGCAGTGGGGATGGGAGGGCTTTCACATTGGGGTTACTATTAAAGGTTTTTGTCTCATAGCCAAGTGTGCACAAGGGAAAGCCTGACCCCATGGGAATGCGCTGTACTGTGTTGGACCTTCAGCACTTCAACGTGGGAGGAGGCCAAGAGTTTCTGTTTAATCACAGCTATACACATGTCTGCCAGGTAACACGTCAAAATATAGCTCAAACAGTATAGGGTTGATTAATGAAAAAGGATGACATTGATGGAACACTGCATTTACAATCAAAGTTTGTTGAACAGAACAACTGGAAACACAAAATTCAAAGAGATAGTTCAGCCAAAAAGGACAATTCTGTCATAATTTTACTCACCCTCATGTCGTTCCAAAACTGTGACTTGCTTTCTTCTGCGAAACACAACATTTCTAAATCTATATTTAGAAAAAGTGTCCTTATAATGAAAATTAAAAGTGTCCCATGTTGTTTTGGACCCAATTGACTTTGATTAGCTTATATGGACATAAGCAGTGAAGCATTCTTCAAAATATCTTATTTTGTGTTTTGAAAGAAAGTAAGTCGTAGTTTTGAAAGTAAATGATGACAGAATTGTTATTTTTAGCTGAACTACATCACTTTAATGGACTAAGCATCATGAAATTACTATATTATTATTACTAGTTATAAATTACATGATAATGTTAACATTTAACAATGGTGAGGTTTGTTCATATGACATTAACTATAATGTTAATTTATACAACTAGAAAATATGCAGTAAAAATGGCTCTAACGCAGTGCTAACGAATTTAAAATGATTGTAAAAACAAAACAGGCTGTGTGAGATCATCTAGACATTGCTTTAAAATTACACTCACCCTCCTGTGTTCAGATGTCATTGCAGTGTCAAAGTTGCACGACAGGGGGCGTCCTTTCACCGCTATGAAATCCATGTATTTGCTCCCATTTTTATGACAGTCACAATGCAAATTAGATGTCAATATTATTTAATTTAGTTTACTTTAAGTTTACAATTTTCTCGATAAATGTGACATCTATAGTATAATTTTCCATTATCTGTATAGCAGACTTCTCATCAGCTGCAGTAAAAGTGACAAACACACCCAGTTTTCTTCATTTTAATAGAAGACAGAACATAAGAACCTAATCATAGACCACTTTAAACCACATTTTCAATGTTTAATAAGAGGACCAAACATTACTTTGTATTGTCCAGGAAATCTCTAACACAAACTAAGTCAGACTTCACTTACTATAATCTAAATGAAACAAACACCAGTTTAAGACACCCTTAACAGCTGTGTATCATTGTCCAATGGAGAAACTTGAAAAACAGCTCATGGGGAGGGATCATAAATCAGACTTTAAAGTACTTTAATATATTCCATCACAAACATCCTGAGATACAAAATAAATACTTCAAACAAAACAAAAAATACTTCCAATAGACTTCATTATGAAAACACAGTCCAATTCGCTCTTTTCCTACAATATACAGAATTCACAACATCACCCATACAAAATGTATCATATTTTATACACCTAAACATATGGTATGTATATTTAAAAAAATAGGTCCTCTAGATGACCCATAAACTCCAACCATTTGTCACTCTGAAACTGTTGTTTTCTAAGATGTCCATCAAATTCATTCTCAATTCCAATATAAATGTTATATATATATATATATATATATATAACCTCTGTTGACATTTCTTGCCAAAAAGCCAAAAAAAAAGTGTGAGTTGGTCCTTGAAACTGTGCAGTAACACAGGTCACCGCCCCTGGATCAAGTCTGTCCTTTCTGTGAAATAGTAGAGGTAAAGAAGAAGGAACAGGAAATACATTCCAAGCAAATGATGTAACTCCATTTAACATAGTCTTTCCTTTGAAATGTGTAGGACGGCAGCACATTAAAGATCAGCATACAGAAAAAATAAGTTAATGCACAACATTGCTTTGGTACAAATTAATATCTTCACTGTCCTGCATCAGAAGAAAAAAAAAATATCTCCTGACAACAGCTGGAAGACGCATGTACGCATTTGTATGTCTGCGTGTGTACTGTAACAAAGATATGCTGCAGCGGACACCTGAAGTCTTCATAACTGATATCTAAATCTCCCTCTGCGTAGTGCTTCGGCAGGAGGGAAAGGGCGGCAGCAGGGGACAGTAAGCAATAAGTACACTGCCCGAGAAAGCAAGAAGGCCCTGATTCCCACAATGCATCCTGCTCAGCCTAGAATCCACAGTTCAGTCTTCTTCCAGCTCTTCCTCATCCTCTTCTCTTAACTCCACGATGTCGTCCATGCGGCCCCCGGCCCTGACCTCGTTCATGGGGGCAGAGTCCTCCCCGTCAATGGTCAAGTCTTCATCTGAGTCTTTCTTTTTCTTCTGTGTGGGCAGAAAGTCATTTTACCCCAACGCACTGGTTTCATTGATTAAACACGAGCAGAACCTATGTATGTTTAAACCATTCTTACATAATTTGTCATATCAAACTGAATGTGACATTTTATGATAGAATGGTTTATAAAGGTTTTACAATATGAGATGCAGAGTTTGTAAAAGGTAACACTTTGTAATAAGGTCTCATTTGTTAACATTAACTAACATGAGCTAACAATAAGCAATATATTGTATGCAGCATTTATTAACCTTTGTTAATGCTACTTAATAAAAATGTTCATGTTTGTTCACAGAGCATTAACTAATGTTAACAGATACAACTTTTGATCTTAAAAATGTATTAGTAAATGTTGAGATTAACATTAGCTGAGATTAATAAATGCTGTAGAAGTATCTTTCATTGTTATTTCATGTAATTAACTAATACAACCTTATTGTAAATTGGTACCATGTAAAATTACAATTTAATTTAATAACAAAACAAGAATGGAGCATTTTGTGACACTATATGGGGTATGTTGGGAAATAGAGATGAGAAACCACATAGGATTTTTTAAAATAGGAGTTTTCTTTCAAGAAATAATAAAAATGTAAAGAGTAATGTACAATACTGTTCAAAAGTTCAGGGTCGGAAAGATCTGTTTACTCTCTTTACTTGCCAAGGCTGTGTTTATATGATACAGTAAAAACAGTAATATTGTGAAATTCTATTACAATTTAAAATAACGGTTTTCTATTTTAATATATTTTAAAATGTAATTTATTTCTATAATGGCAAAGCTGAATATGAAGCACATGATCCTTAAGAAATTATTCGAATATGCTTATTTTCTGCTCAAGAAATGCTTCTTATCAATATTGAAAACAGCTCCTTGATATTTTTGTAGAAACTGTGATACATTTTTCAGGATTATTTGATGAATAAAAGTTAAAAATAACAACATTTATTTAAACCTGAAAACTTTTGCAACATGTTAAATGACAAACTGATATTTATGGGGGAAAATCCTTGTTCTTAAATTTACCTTCATGATATAGTTGACCCTTGTCTTATACATCAGTGTGGTTTTATTGTGTTTACTTGTTCAGCCAAAAGTTTAACTTGGAAGACTGAATAATCCTTCTTGAATTTTGAAATGAGCATACAAAATCACCGCTAGAGAAAACACATTTATGCAACTGTACTTTTGACTGGACTGTACTTTATTTTTTTAAATAACTACCCTCAGTCTCCTGTGTGTGTGTGTGTGTGTGCTTATAATACACAATACAGTATTGGAATGAACATGTCTGGAGATTCATGGCCATTGTGTTATCGCAGAACTGAATATTTATTGCTCTTTTACCGTATTAACTAATCAAATAGAAAGCAACTTTAATCATCAGAAAAACCTACAGGCTTCAGTGTTATTGTACCTGTTTCCGGTAGACATAGCATGCTGCAATTGCAACCATAGTAGACTCCCCAAGGAAACCAGCCAGCAGAGATCCAACACCAAGTGTGGCCCCATGTACCCTGCACAATTTGAGCATAAAAAGCTTTCTAACAAAGTCTAATACATTTTAATATACACTTTACAAGTGTGATGCACTAAAGTACAACAATTAGTAATATGTATGTTTCAAGTTTCTACTCAGTACTAGTGTAGAATCAAGCACAACACACTTACCCCATGTAAGGCAGCACTATGAGACTGGTGATGAGGACAATGATGCGGAGGACAGAGCTGGGTGCCAGGACAAAGGTTTTCTTCAGGGTCATGAGCCAACCAGTCAGGTGAGCACGAATCGTCACTGATGATAAAAACAAAAGAGAATTCAGTTCATGCAAATTCGGTCTCAAGCAATCATGTGAACATGTTTTACACGCCAGTGATTGCTTGGCTATCAGTATCATTATATCATAAAAGTCAAGTATAATAAAATTCGAAGGTACTTTGAGCTCTCATTGTGATTCTTTCTCTCTCAGTTTCTGTAAGCCTGGGGCATTGTAACTGAAGCTTGACCTTCGCCTTTTCAAATGGACTTTTTTTTAAAAGAGCAACTGGCCCCCCTAAGACCATCTGTCCATTTGATGATGCACTGCACATCAGACCCTAGATCAACCATTTTTGTTTGTCATGAGAAAGCCCCTGGAGAATTTGCAGCTACAAGACTTTACAGAAAGTTCTGCAGATTTAAACAGAATTTGAACATGGGTCATTCACAAAGTTATATACACTACTGTTCAAATGTTGGGGGTCAGTACCATTTTTCCAAGAAATTAATACTTTTATTCAGCAATAATGCATTAATTTGATCAAAAGTGACAGTAAAGGCATTTAGGCCTGGTTTCACAAACAGGGTTTAGATAGGGTTTAGATTAAACCAGGGTTAGGCCTTAGTTCAATTAGGATATTTAAGTAGCTTTTTTAAACATGCCTTAGAAAAAAACATTACTGGTGTGCATCTTGAGGCACAGCAATGGCACTGACATATTTTAAGATATTTCGGTACAAGTTGCTTTCAGTTAAAACAGCTCAAACAAGCATTTTAGTCTGGGACAAGCTTAAGCCTTGTCTGTGAAACCAAGGGTTATAATGTTATATATAAGATTTTTACTTCAAAGAAAATGCTGTTCTTTTGAACTCTCAATTTATCAGATAATCCTGAAAAAGTCGCTTTGGATAAAAGTGTCTACTAAATGATTAAATGAAAATGTAAATGTAAAATGTATCATGGTTTCCACACAAGTATTAAGCAGCACAACTGTTTTCAACTTTGCTAATAATAAGAATGTTCTTGAGCACCAAATCAGCATATTAGAATGATTTATGAAGGATCATGTGACACTCAAGAACAATAATAATTACAAAGAAAACAGTTATTTTAAATTGTAATAATATTACTGTTTTTACTTTATTTTTGATTAAATAAATACAGCCATGGCGAGCATAAGAGACTTCTTTCATCAAAAAGTCTAACCGACCCAAGTTTTGAACAGTAGTGTATGTCCTGTGTTTTACGTGCTTGTTTATCAAATATTTTGATTATGCTTTCAGCTATCAATAGTAATCGTAATGGTTAAAATCATAATTTCTTTGTATTGTACTGTAAAAATCTGTATACAGATATTTTCTCAAAACTGTGTAAAATGTTTGTCTCTTTATGGAAATTTACTAAAAGTGCAATACCTGGAATGGGAAAGAAAGAGAAAATCCGTAATGGGGTGATACACAGCTCAGCAAAGGCATGATCTACTCCTATGATATCCACCAGGATCCTCTCAGAAATGTGTGGCGCCCAGAACACCACAAAACAGAGCTGCACAGAGAAAGACAGACTGCCTGAATGGGACTATATAGACAATCTCACACATAATATAACATAACATAACATAACATAACATAACATAACATAACATAACATATTCACTCACAAACCATCAATCAAACATCTAATAGTAAAATATAAAGCAGTCGACAAGGGCAAAAAAAAAAGTGTATTCCTGGTTATTTCTGTGAAAAGGCATTCTGATGGTACTGGTTATCTAGCGGAATGTAATATAGTAGTACGCATGGTACTTTTAGAGCCAGCACACATCTGGAAGCTGGTATATTATACTTACCCTGTTAACACGGCTATCAAAACACTATCATTTACACTCATAAGTGTTTATGTATATCTGGGTGGAGAAGAGCCTTTGAAATATGGATAACAGTGCTGGAATTAGAAGCATATGCACAGATATGGCCAGACATGTTGGAGCTGAGAGCAGATCTCAACACTTGCTACAACTCCTTAAAATCAATAACACAAGCCAACCATCAATGATATTTAATTAACAATAAAGTCCAAAGGGGAAATTTCTAAGCAAAATGTTGATATAAAATCTAGATGACTAAATTAAAATGTAAAGAAGCCATGGTATTCTTCCATAGCGGCGCATTCATGCAACATTTCAGGGAAGAGCCCATCTGGGCAAAACAATATAGCCCTTACACAAGAGATTAAACAGAAAACTCATACTCATACAATCCTGATTCTACCTCCACATCACTGACAGAGACGTGAAATTATGGAATAAAAATGATCACTGAAGTGAAATACTAAGCAGGCTTTTATCTAGGTCAGGGAGGGAAGATCTGACCCGGTTACAGAAGCAGACAGCATCAATTAATCATTTAGCCTGACTCTAAAAGTACTCACAATAACAAAACACACTATCCTAATGCACTCCTTACGGCTTTACAACTATGTGTTTAGTAGCTGAATAAGAAGAGTTTTGGATTTTTGTTTTTGAATTTAAATTCAGGGGACAAATGGAATAATAAAATATATATAAAATATAATGTTTACTGATTACGCTATGTGGGTTTATATATTATACATGCAGACAAAAGCCATCAAAGTAAAAAAAAAAAAAAACTAAGTGCGCTGTAGCCAGAATTACCTACTGATTAGACATGCCCCTATTTAGGGTGACCAGACGTCCCGTTTTCAGCTCTATTTTTAGTGTCCCGACATAGGAAAAAATCTTGTTTTGTCCCGTATTAATTCCTTCCTAAATTGTCTTTGCTAGGTGATCATAAAAGGGCGCAGTAGTCTTCTGTCATGCGAGAATGGCTAATCAAATGTACTCATCATAGTATATTTTGGAGAACACAATAACCATCCAATCACAATTCGATATCGACTTGCAGTAAGTGAAGGGGAGATCGAGTCAGATGTAAAGATGTCAAAGAAGCGCATGTTTACATTTAATGAGGATCTTCAAAAAGAGTTTAACAAGTTATCATGCGCAGTAAGTTGTGAAAAAAAGAACTCTTGGTATCGGGCTGAATGACACACACCACAAGCGCTCTTTCAGACAGAGCTATTCCAAACTCTGCCTGAATTCAGTTCTCTTTGCGCCTGAATGGTCAAATACAGACACAGTTGTCAAAATTCCCATCATGTGGAGTATCTCACTTAAATACAGTCAGTTACAGCTTAAGTGAAGTGAACTAACTAACTCTATCTACCATGTTTTATTTTCGTGCTTTCCACATATGGGCTGTTTTGATTGACAGATAGAAAGCTCCTCCTGATTGGCTAAACAAAAAATAAGACTGCAGCCCACGGTCACAATAAACTCCCAGAGCACCTTTAAAGTCCCTGAACTTCAGCAAACTGCAGTTACCAAAATATGAAACAAGCGTTATTAAAGCCAGACGGAGACTGAAGACTGAGAATGTGGACTAACTTACTGTTATAGAAAGAGCCAAACAAACAAAAGTGAAGCGCTTGATGTCGGATTTTGTCACAACTGCACTGCTGTTGGCCAACTTGTTGCTCGGGTTATTCTAGAACATGAGAAGAGAACAAAGACAAACAGCAGACGTGAGGAAAGCAGTTCATTTCTTCTTTATAATGTACAATGTTTTGAGCATTTATAATGTACACTATCATTCAGCAAGGATGCATTTAATTGATCAAAAGTCACAGTAAAGATATTTATTATATGAAAAAATGTATCACTGTTTCCACAAAAATATTATGCAGCACAGCTGTTTTCAACATTGATGATACTAAGAAATGTTTCTTTTGAACAAGAGCTGCTGAAAACTCAGCTTTGCCATCACATGATTACATTACATTAATTACAGTTATATTGAATTGTAATAATATTTCACAGTATTACCTTTTTTACTGTGTTTTTGATCAAATAAATGTAACCTTGGTGAGCATTCGTGACCTTACTGAAAAACATTTATTTTTCAATTCTTACAGACCTCTAACTTTTAAACAGTAAAGTAGATCATCTTTATCCATTAAAAAATGATCGGTCATTTTTGCAGCCAGAGAACGTCAACCCATTTCCTGTGGACTTCCTAATTGTGGATCCTGAGTCCTTTTTCTATGGGGAAATATCCATAAATAACACACCACCGTGCGCCTTTTTAATTACAGTCTCTGGGACTCTAGCTGCAGGTCTGTCTCCATGAACCCACTCTGTTTACCCAAAAAATAATTGCTTTGTCATAAAGTAGAACAAGATAATAGACATACTGCAGTATTAGCACAAAAGGTGGAAGATATAAACTAATTTTGTCATCCCTTGAGATAAAGTTAGACAGTGTCGTATAAATAAAAAAGCAAAAAACTGCACACTGATTCCTTTTACTGATCGTTCAGGAAGAATACTGGGAGGAGATGATGAACTTAAGTATATACTGTATGCAGAGGATGATCAGCATTAAGCATTCTGAGTAGTGTATGTTTAAGGATTAAAAAATGTTTTAGTTGAAATAACAACAAATACCTACCTTGTCAAATGCAGGGTAAACAGCTCTGAGTTCAGTGAGCCAGCCATATGGCATATGACCCACTGGATATGTTGCTGTGAGAACGGCAACAGCCTGGAAAACAACGGAAAGATGATGGTAACATTAAACACCCACAATCTAATCTGTTTATAATGAATGATTCTATAGCTGAGTGACGTAAAATATTTCTGACATCTAGGCACCAAACAACTAAAGCGACATTAAAACTTGTTTTGTCATTACAGTAATTGTTTAAACCTAGCTTTAAAAATAAAGCAGGGGGAAAAGTGGCAAAGTTGGTCCATAAATGCAGCACTCAGGATGCAAAGACCCAGTTATCCCACTCTATGATGAAATGAGCACTATGAGATTAAATGAGTTTTATTATTATGTGTTATTTTAGTATTATTTATTTGCCATTACTGTATTTCTGTCATTACAACTCTCTGAGAGATTGGCATGGTAATGGATATGGAAATGTTCATGTATTTGGTCTAGGCGGAATAGATCTGCTACGCTGCAGAACGATTTTCTACTGCCAATACATTTACAGACATTGCTGTGAGCATGTAGGACATGCTGCTGCACATTTAACATACATGAAATAAACCCTGTAGCAGATCTATACAGGTGGAGCTGGGGAAGGTGGAGGGTTTCTGAAGCGCGCAGCAGACTGCTAACAGCAACACTACCAGTATTTGTTTAAAAGTTGCGCCTCAGCTCATTGGCCGCTGATGCAACAGCAACCAATCAGTTGCACTATGTAGATGATGCTGCGATTGCTACCAAGTGAGTTAAGGACCTATCAGCCTGCGTTATCTAGAGTTTCATGTCAGAACTAGGTAGTATTCATTTTTTTTTTTTTTTTTTATCTAATTTTTAAACAGAATAATTTGATTAGTTTTTTAAAAAATTATTTATATTTAGCTTTAATTTATTTTTTATTTCAGTTTTAGTTTTATTAATTTTAGTACTTCAACTTATTTTAGTAAAAGTTTTTCATTTAATATTTATATTTTAGCTTTCAAATACCAAAACCAATTTTTAATAGTTTTAGTTAACAACAAAATCAAGTCCAACTCTATTTACAACTGACAGCACTGCTTCGGTTAAAGTAAAAATAGATTGCAAATTGTCAATTTAGAAGAACTAAAACATTTCCTCCATCCCTTCTCAGCATATTTTCAAAGAAAGAAAATATGCAGACCTGCTGAAGCCTTTCACCATGTATAGCTAAGTTTAAGTATTAGCTACATATTCACACATATGCTGTATCTAAATGACTGAAAATAACGATTATGACTACAAGTTGATATTTAAATACTGTAAAGGCATCAGTGCTTTTGCCAGACTAACCTCTGTGGCAGCTGTGCTTCCTTTCAGATCCCGTGACACAAACAGGTTGACGATGGGTCTGCTAATCCGCTGCGTAGCCAGGATAAGAGCCAATGGCCACCAAAAGCCTAGCATCTTTTTAATAGTGGCATCACCCTATTACACAGAGTGATTGTCAGTATATAGCACACATTTGAGAGGGCAGAGCAAGGAGCAATGAGTATAGAAAACCAATAAACTGACCAATGTAGCTGTGATACTAAACTAAGCAGGACAATAGCAACAGATTTACACAATAAAATGGCAGTTGGTTGAATTGGTGTAAAGAGAGTCAATGGACGTACCCCAACCTCTGGCCCACTGGAGTCAGGGATGTTGTCATGAACGGTCCTGTAGTACCCCAAACCAACGATAGTGAAGCGTACCAAAGCTCCCATATCCTCCTGAGACCCAGAAAAAAAAAGTTTTTTGAATTTAGTTTTTTTCCATGTCATCACACTGTTTAGAGCACAATAAACAAATGGTAAAAAAACACATATATAAAATAATATTTTATTCATACGTTATGCTATGTCCTCTGTAGTGGACGCCAGGACTAAGTTGTTTAAAAAATAAAATGACATGAAATTATATGTATAGGCAAAAACAATGGGATTTTTTTTTCAATCACCAATAAATTTTGGGGTTTCAGGATTTTTTCAACCAAAATTTGTATAAAGATTATTCTCAACTATGTTATGAAAGAAATAATGGAATGAATTGATACACAATTTTACTTTTTGCAATATGTGGGTAAAATGGCCATAAATTAATATTCCCATTCAATGCAATGTATCTATACACTGTATCTAATTTGCACATTAATGTGTTCTTGGAGCAACATTTAATGAAAAAAGAAGTGTAACAATTGGAGTAATTATTGGCAACATTTTAATAATATCATCTAATATTTCATAGGAATATTGATGTATAATTTATCTCCATATTCACTTGTTGTGTCTCCCAGAATGCCTGATAAACATGGTTTTAGTCCTGATGTCCTCTACAGTGGACACGTTTGAAATCAATGCCCTGTTCTGTAACAGAAAGTATTTTTTTTATTTGAAACCCCTTAACATTTTCCTGAGATGTTGTTTTATGAAATACAATTAGAAAAAGTAGTCCAATTTAAATATAATTACAATATATTATCATATTTCCATAAGAATGCTACATTTGATCACTAAATTAATGTCAGACATTTTTAAAGACCAAGGAGAAGTTGTTTTCATGGTGAAACCTCCAAACATTTGGTATCTCTGAAAAGTCCTGAATGTGCTCTTTACAGGACACCCAGGTTGTGTCATGTGACATGTATGATGTCAGAGAAATTCACTAAAATATAATGTCCACTACAGTGGACAAAAGTCTATTCTTGGGTCCCAGGAGGATATATAGAGAGAGGATTGGGATCAATAAGGGCTCCACACACTCCAAGTGACTGTGGAGCAAAATAGCCACAAATACAACCTAGAGAGAGAGAGAGAGAGAGAGAGAGAGAGAGAGAGAGAGAGAGAGAGACCCTGATTATAATGACAGTGATAAATATATTATTAATTCAAACCCAAATACATGATAAATAAAAACAAATTACACCACTGCTATGAAAAGCACTGCCATTATAGATAACCCATTATATCACATTATCTCACCTTCAATTATCCTTTATACACAACCATATTCACATTCACAAAACATTGAAAATATAAACAACACTTAACATATCAATACAGATTTGTAAATAGGCATCTGAAATCAAAGAATGAAATGCTGCTTCATTGAATCTGACACTTACCTGTGCAACGACATCAGAAATAGAGGCACATCCCACCAGGAGACTGTGCTTGTGCTTCAGAAGGATTCCAGCATGAGTCCAGGCCTGAAATTAGAGACAAGAGCTAATATCAACTGTCACTAATCCAATACAAATTTGTCCTGATGAGCCTACTGTGTTTTAGATTATAGGAGGCACTTCCAGTTTGGGAATGTTGTACTCAAAAAGACTTGAGACAAACAAATTCAAATCATAAGGTTGCGCTACAATTTACAAATAATCCTTATCCGTCAGTGACTAAATAAGCTGTAAGATTTCTTTCATGTTCTATTTTCAGACGTCAGTTTGATATTTTAATGTGAAATGGTGTAACAAAAAATATCTATGGCAAGAGCTGCATTCTTTTCCTCCTGATTAATTTCTATTAACAGTTCTGACAGTTCAGTTCTATTCTTCTTTAACAGTCTGAAAAAAGACAACATGTCTTGTATGTAGGGATTCACCACTATGAAAATGTTGTCACATACCGATAACTCTTTATATTTAAAGGCCCATAACGGATATATTGGCCGATAAATCTAAATCCAAATTCTTATCTAATTTTTGAGAGCCTGTGTCCAGTAGCATCAGTAGATGTATTTGCACAGCGGATTACAAAAACAAAAGTCTCACCATTAAAATCCATGTCCCAAGCACACAATTATAATGATATTCTCTTAACTGTATGTTGCACTTAACTGCATTTTCCTTTTTTGAAGTAATTCCAATCATATTTCAAGCAATTCAAAACCATCATGGTGAACAGTGCACATCGATGCATCTCAGCTGAAGGAAATAATCCATTATTTATCAGCTTTAATATATCAACCCAATTTCTTCATTGGGACAATAACATTAAACATTAAAATATATCAGCCGATACCGATATGGTGGCCCATATATTGTGCATCCCCAATACAGTGCATTTGTTGTCTGTTCTGTTCTCCCAATTTAATTTAAGATATATCCCATGAATAATTCACTGGAATGTACTAAGAATCTCTAATCCCAAATCCTCATGTCTCTTTCCAGGTTTGTTTCCACACGGCCAAATTAAAATGTAATTGTCTCCCCTTTTCACTTCTAATCACTATTAGCAGTGTGTACTGCAATGTCTGTCAAAATGATGGAAATCACATTGAAAAATTAACACTCAATGGACATTTTTTTATTAAGGCAATGTATGTTACATAATATAGACAAATAGTACAGTGATATTTAACCTGTCAATAATATTGCAGTGGAAATAAGCTTTAGGGGTTTTTCATGGTCTGTTGTAATCATTTGTTAATGCTTTTACACTTTTAAATTTGTGAGCTGGTTCTCAGCTCGCCACCCCAGTGCCTTTAATGTGTGATGGTTAGAGGGTGAGTAGAATAATGTCATCTCATTGCACCAGCTTTTGAAAATGCTTATTATTGCATCCACAGAGTGAACCTTTAACTGATTGTTTACAGTTTAACAGAAAAAGCTGGATACAATTCGCTAATCCAGGCCAAGGACCCTTTAGTAGATAGAGAGATGGAGCAGGGACCCTCTGTTACATATTATATTAAATTGTAGGGTGTATTTTACTCATATAGTACTATATTGATGCATTTGCATACTATATATTGATGATAGCATTGCAAAGCCATTAAAATAAACATTATTCATGACTCATGTAGTTTTATATTACAGTATCCACTACTGTTCAAAATTCTTGGGTCTGTTTTTTAATGCATTTATCTGATCAAAATATAAAAATCAACAGTAATATTGTGAAATATTATTACACTTTAAAGTAACTGATTTTTATATATTTCAAAAATGTAATTTACTCCTGAACTTTCAGTATCATCACTCCAGTCTTATTATTAGCAATGTCCTAAACAGTTTTGCTGCTTGCAATTTTATGTATTTCCATTTGTTTATAAAAAAAAAAAATTGTTGGGTTCAATCTCTAGTCTAGAGACATAACACTTTAAACAAAACATTGCTGCAGTTTAACCTCCATTGAGAGGCACAGGACGTTCCGCATGGGCTGTTATTTATCCAAAGGAGCTTGATGGTTTTCCAGATCTGAATGCCTGGCTGTACCACACGACTAAACACACATACTCTCTGCCCATCTGTGCCAGGCAGAAGAGCCAGATCTGACGGTCAGAGCAAGAACATATGACATTACGACCGAATATCTCCAGGGATGGCATGTCACTCACCATGGCGTCAAGTAAAGGAAAAGCAGCCAGATAGAGAAACGCCTTCCGGGTCTTACTCCCCACAGACTCATCCACATGATGCAGTTTGTTAATGATGTAATAGCCAAGATCTGTGTAGGCTAAACAAGGATAAGTGAGAACAAGATTAATTTGTATATTTATCAATAATGTACACAAATGACATGCAAGGACACAGAAGTTCTAATATTATATTATATTACTCTGGGATAAGCATCCCTGTGACCTTACTAGAACAAGTTGTTTGGAGAATGGATGGATAATATAATATAATAATATCATTTTAAAAATAACATGCAAAGACATAGAAGTTCTCATGTCTCCCATGTGTTTTCCCTTTTTCTCAGTAATGTGTGCAGTGACGTAATCCACATATGGATGACGCAGCTCTACAAAACTCAGTGACTGTGCAAATGGGCATAACATGTCTGAGACCACACGCAAGATGATGGAGAGTGACCATGTTATGTTAACAGACTATAAGTTCTTCATTTAAAAGCAAATCATTAAGTGCGGTAGACAGTTTTGGCATAGTAATTAAAAATTCATGCCCTTCTCCAAGAGGGTGGTGGTTTGTATCCCTATATCCCTCGAGGTTACCCTGGAAACATTCTTTCTTCGTGCACTCATAGCAGTAATTGTCATATGGGCACTGCGGAGCATCTGAAAATGGCTCAGATTTTTTGCTTTGTGTGTAAATGACTATTTATGTAAATGCAAATTAATTTGGGGTAGAGAAACTGACGAATTCAAGGTGAATGTCCTTCATTCTTCTAATAAAATGACTAATTACACTGTAAATTTAGACTGTTTAAAGACGATTGGACCGTTTTAAACCACAACCCCCACACTTAAGTATTTGTAATCTGGTAATTATGGGTGGCAGAACTTATTTCCTGCTGAGTAGGAGTACAGCATTTTGCCCAATTTGTTTAATGACAATATAATAATAGAGGATGAACGAAGATCCGAAAATAAATGGCAATCTACTACCCCCGTGAGTTTGGATAGTTTGTTTGAGAGTCAGAGAGGCCTCTCCATTCACAGGGAGTACACTGGACAGGCATGTAGTAACCTGGCAAAAAAAGCCTTTCCGTCAACACAGCGGATGAACCGTGTTTGGAATATAATGTTCCTTTGTGCAATGACTTTTCCAGAGAATAGTTACATCTGCCTTCTATGAGTAGAGTCTGTGTGGTTAAGACCATTTGAGGTCCTTCTCCAGTCATAACACAGCTCACTAAGTCTACCATCATGACATATTTGTTTAGAAAAGTGCAAAACAAAACGGTGTTCCCTGTACATTTAGTACAAACTCATGCAAGAGGTGGAGTGAGGAAGTGATAGACTGGCAGACTGACCAATGAGAGAATGGAAAATGATAGCCACGGTTCCTGCAGCGACCATACAGAGGACCGCCTTGGTTCTGTCCCGTTTGCTGTTGACAAACACCAGCCCTACGTTCTTGAAATCACTCATAGGGCCTGTGAAGAACTTCATGAGGGAGTAGGCCAGACCATAGCTGGCCAGCATTTCCACAGCATCCTCTTTGACTGCTGCTATTCCCCTGTTTAAAGCCTGTAGAGGAAGAGAGAGAAATTATACACATTTATCAGAAACACCATTTTTTCCAGCATTACATAAAAAACAGGCAAGTAGAGTGATTAAAAGAATCCAGATTTAGTCACATTATCGATTTTCTAAAGTGGAGGGATGAATTGAAATGGTGATAAACTATCACTCCTCATGGGATTCTTTAACACAAAGAGGGTTTTATACCCAAGATATACAGCACTAGCCCTGTATCAACCGACTAAATGCCTTTCATGGCATGCCCCCCCAGAAAAGGATCTAAATGTGAGGACTGGTATTTGCTACACTGGATAAGTTTGTGTTACACAGGACCGCTGGCTTCTCTCTCTTTTAAAGCTGAATATGTGTCACAATGCACCATGTGCTGCTAAATATCACACAGTATAAAAGTCTGTAGACTGTCCAAACACTATCAAGGAACATTTCTAAGCAGAAACAGGACGAAGAGTTATAAGATTACATTTATTCATCGACTTGAGATAAACACCTGAAAAGTGTGATCAGAATCAACAGTCAATGTAGTCTGAAATCTCTCAAAGAAAGTGGAGATAGAGTAACTCTAAAGTGTCTCAATGAAACCCGACTATTTTGTGACAATAAAGCTGTAAAAAATGTTCATATACCAGAATATATCCCCGTCACATGAGAAGGTGATTTGTAAATGTGTCAGATGTCAACTTGTTGGAAAATGCTGAGATGTACATAAGTTCTACTTGCTCTTTAGGTTGTAGGTGTTACTCAATTAAATAACCATTGCTGTCCTGTCCTTGACTCTAACCTGGTGCCACCATTCTGTAATATTTACTGTGTAAGGAGAACATTGCTTAATATGTTTAAATCTTAAGATTTCATTTGGATGAAACAGTAGATAATGAGTCACAGAATCAATAAGCAGCAAGGCCTGTACAATAAGAGATCAAGTCAAAAGGACACATGAATGTATACTTTTTTTCCTCCTTATCTGCTGCCTTCTTCTGACTCTCTTTGTCTGTCACTTCATCTCCAACGCCTTACAACAATGTGCAGAGAGATAATGGTTGTCTGTTACTGTGGGCAGAGAGGCTCTTAGGGTTCCTGCTCACATTTCATCTTTCTGCTATAAGTGATTTTGAAAAATGTATTTTGTAACAAAAACGAAAGGCAATATTTCATTCCAGTTTTCCCCAAAATCAAATGAGTTCTTCAGTGTAGTGACTTGCATCCATCAAATCCATACTAATTTCAAAATGTTCTCATTTTATGATCTTTACTTACCAAAAAAATAATTTGTCATGACAACTGAGGGATTGAATCAACACACTACATTTCCTCATCAACTAATATGCCCAATATGTTTCTAATAACTGATATTTAAAGCCAGTTTATAGATTTATTTCTGCTTTTTAACACAATAACTTTTCATTATAATACAACGCTAAAACATTATAAATATAATAAAAACTTTTAACCATTATAATTATGATTATGTAATTGTTAAGCTACTGAACTGGATAACATTTATTCTCCAGTGTGAAATATGTAGCTTAACAATTACATAATTATTACATTTTTTGAATAACAGCCATTTATTTTCCAGTGAAAAGTGTCAAAATCCAAACAATTGTGAAATAATGCTATTCAATTATTTTAAAGCCCAATATCAAAACACAGATCATTGGTCTGTATATAATGCCCTCAAACATTCAATAAAAAAAGTGATTGTGCACAAATATTTGAGTTTAACATGATCTTAAACATTTTAAATAGTGTGAACATTTTTTTTTTAAATCTTTGGAACTCATGATAATGAGAAAGACTTTCCAATGTGTAGAAATGATTTATTAAAACCTCGGGAAGAAACATAATAGCATCAAAATGAGATGTGAATTACATGAATAAAATATTTGTTCAGCCAAGGGTTTTGGTAGCCAACCCATTTAAACATGTAGAGACTGCGATAAAATAAATAAATACTGTAAACCGCAGTACATTTGTTAATGGTTGACAAAAACAAGGCCAGTTCACGCAGAGGTGAAAACAAAATCAGCCCATCCAAAAGTGCACATTCATCTCTGTCAGATTGCTTTTGCATTGTTCGGTGTGACACACGTTATTGGATGTGCTGTATGGCCAGCTGTTGACGAACACAGCTGATCGGCTCGTTGTTTGTGATGATGCCCTGTTAACGAAGGCCCGCTGTTTGCCCGTTTCCTTACGAAATAAAAGCACAGGATGGCCCTAACCTATAAATTACGTTAGCAACATACTATACATTGGCGAGCCAGATAAACAAATCTCTTGAGGGATGCCATTGCTGCAGTGTCCAGCTCCAAGGATACACAACCAATCTTACGTCATTAAGTGCTGTTTTTAACGGACAATTCATTCACACTTGCCTGTTCGCCGAGGTCGATGGCTATGTTGGTAATGGCCAGCGGCACCAGGAATCGGATGAGAGGCAAGTAGTGCGTGAGCGCTGGGAATTTCACCATGTTCACCGGGAAGATAGCGGCAGCACTGCCAACATCAGCTGCTCGGATCTGGAAGGATGAGAGGCCGGTCACCGCCTGTCGAGTTCTGAGTGTTTTCTAGCAGAAATCCACCGAGATCAGGTCCGTCCCTGCCCTCCTACACAACAACAGCATCATAAACAATGTTCTGGTGCATGGGAAAATAGGAGGGTCACCAGAAATTTCTGCTGACGGCTTCTCCATTGTTCACCCATCAGGGGAGAGGAAAAAGATACATATAATCGGCCGCGGCGATTAAGTGCGGCACAAGCCATATACATGGAGTCGCTCGGCCAGCCGCTATTCTGCTGCAGATGGCCACTCGGTTTACTGTACTTAAATCATCATCATCCTTCCTTAAAAACACGTGGGAGACGGTCGCTGCATAAAGGCCACTCCTCTTCTAAACGTCACCTGCTGCGTACCACAGACCAGAGCCATCACAGACATACACGGCTGAACAACACACGGCTGTCCAAAATTGAGTTCATTCTCAGATAACGGCTTGCCAGAGAGGTCTGGGCACTGCACAAGGGGATGAAATGGCCGTCCTCTTTCTTTCTTACCTGGCTTGCTGCATGTAGGCCTACGCGTTAATTTGACCTAAAAATGATAGCGCAATAAATAAATAAATATCAAATTGAGACAAAGACATTAAACAAAAATTTAGTGACGCTCAATAATCTAAGTAAAAACCGAACACCTTATTTGTCGGCCAGCAGGTGGGGCTGCGGAGCAGGCAAGTATTGTGAGAAGCACTGCTGTCTGTCAAACTGTCAAATAAAGGGACCGTTCACCCATAAATCACAATCATGCATACATATTTCTATATCTTTATGACCGTGACCGACATCTCCTTTTGTGCTCCATGTTTACTCCTACTTCTGTAGAGAGAGAAATTATCACATCTGCGCAGTCCAAAAGAAACTTTTTTTTTATATGCAAATGCAACTAGCAAAAATATAATTATCATTCAAATTAGTACATATATTGAATAGCTCAGTAATTTCTCAACCATGGGGGCTGGGGTCCACGAAGGACCTCAGCAAACCTCGAAGGGGGCTATATAAATTATTATTAAAATAGACCAGTCCTGTTCCTGTAGATCTACCTACCAGCAGAGTTCAGATCCAAATACACCTGTCTGTAAATATCAAGTGCTCCCCCAAGTATAGGTCTCTGCAGGACAGTAATAGGAGTTACCAGATCAGTGGGCGAGGATATAAACAGAGGGGCATTTTCAGTGCTCCTAAATATCTTAATTACCATATTACATTTGCTTGGAGGTAGAGCTCCAGGAACAGGATTGGGAACTCCAGATATAGACCATATTAGGCTACTTCTGCATTGCATTGTTTACCATTAATTACAGGACTTCTTTTTTCAAGCGCAGATTGACTTGGCCAGTCAGAAACATACTGTATGAAGGTGCTAGCAAAACATGCTCCGAAATATTTTATAGATTTTCTAATGATACATTTTTGGCACAATGATATGTAAACCATACAAGATCAAGTGATGCTGCTTTTAGCCAATATGCTCACAAAATCTGAAACCATTTACCGATTAAAATCAGAAACGATTCCTGCATTCACAAACGTCTAAATCATCTCTTGGCATTTCTTTACTCTTTCATCATGACATTTCATTACAAAGTTTCAGTGAACAATTGATTTGAGATGGAGGCGGCCTGTTGTAATGCTGCATGCATGCTTCATCAGATGCTTGTGAATTATTGAGCTTTGGCCATTTCTCATTTCCTGCCCACGCTGTGTACATTGCTCTTCAAAGTAATAAATGGTCAGACCGTTAAGATGACGTCATCTAAAGAAGGCAGTATAAGAAGATATAGAAACCAGTGGAAGAACACAGATCTTAAAACGAATGGGACCCTAAAATAGCTTAATGTAATACCTAAAAAAAGTCTAGATTTATGGTTAAATTTTTATTGTAATTAAGCAAAGCAATAATTAACCTTGTAAACTAATGAAAATCATTTAAAAATAATCTCCCATCCCAGCTGGAGGTGCAGCTATGTCTCATATAACCACTGCAAAGATTTATTTAGAAATGCATCCTTTTATCCAAAATTACATTGGTAGCAGAATAAGGATAACAAATCTTTACATTTATCAAAATAAGAAAGGAAAAAGTATCCCAAACCATAAATGCAAGAACTGCAATTTGGAAAGCACAAAGGATTGCACAGTAACTCCTGAGTTCTGTAGATTGTGTGTGATTGCCATATACTCTTTAAAGACGCGTAGTTATGTTTGATGGTCCATCTGAGGGTTGATTCCACTTTGGCCTACCGCGTTCATCAAATTTGGAGGACTTTTTGGGTACGAGTGCATTGTAGTGTCTGTCATCTTCAGTAAGCAAGCATAGAGGAGGCCAGTCTTCCCTGTGGTCATTCGGGTAGTATGTGATAAACTCTTCTGTGTCACACTTATACAGCCGAACGACCCGGATCGTCTGTTGAAGGGAATGACCCAGGAGGCACATCTCCACCTAAACAACATTACATCAGGAGAGGTTCCTTCATAAAAATATGATCACTTCAACCATTTAAACAATGGCATGAATTAAAGGTAGGGTAGGCAATTTTTTTTATAAACACTTTGTTATTCTTAAGCAAATTCTTAAGCTTGAACGGATACTTCGACGATTTTCAATCTGGTTTCCGACCACATCACAGCACAGAGACAGCACTCATAAAGATAATAAACGATATTTGCTTAAATACTGATACAGGCAAATTATCAGTACTGGTACTACTCAACCTCAGTGCTGCATTTGACACTTTCGATCACAATATACTTCTTGACAGGCTGGAAAACTGGGTGGGGCTTTCTGGGATAGTCCTAAAATGGTTCAGGTCATACTTAGGAGGGAGAGGTTATTATGCGAGTATAGGGGACCATAAGTCTGAGTGGACATCCATGACATGCGGAGTCCCTCAAGGCTCAATTCTTGCGCCACTCCTATTCAACCTGTACATGCAAAAAATGAGAAAGAACCAAATTGCTTACCACAGCTATGCAGACGACACACAGCTCTACTTAGCCCCATCGCCTAACGATTACAGCCCCATTGACTCCCTGTGCCAATGCATTGATGCAAATTGAACAGTTGGATGTGCCAAAACTGTCTTTAGTTAAACAAAGACAAAACTGAAGTCATTGCGTTTGGAAACAAAGATGAAGTTCTCATGGTGAATGCATACCTTCCCTCTAGGGGTCAAACAACTAAAAATCAAGTCAGGAATCTTGGTGTGACTAGAGTCAGACCTTAGTTTCAGTAGTCATGTCAAAGCAATAACTAAATCAGCATACTATAATCTGAAAAATATTGCAAGAATTAGATGCTTTGTTTCCAATCAAGACTTAGAGAAACTTGTGCATGCTTTCATCACCAGCAGGGTGGATTATTGTAATGGACTCCTCACTGGCCTTCCTAAAAAGACCATAAGACAGTTGCAGCTCATACAGAACGCTGCTGCCAGGATTCTGAGCAGGACCAGAAAATATGAACATATCACACCAGTCCTCAGGTCTTTACACTGGCTCCCAGGTACATTTAGGATTGATTTTAAAGTATTATTACTGGTATATAAATCATTCAATGGCCTAGGGCCTCAATACATAGCAGATATGCTCACTGAATATAACAGAATATAACCCAACAGATCACTCAGATCATTAGGATCACATCAGCTAGAAATACCAAGGGTTCACTCTAAGCATGGAGAGTCTGCTTTTAGCTATTATGCCAGCCACAGCTGGAACCAGCTTCCAGGAGAGATCAGATGTGCTCCTACAGTAGTCACATTCAAATCCAGACTCAAAACACATCTGTTTAGCTGTGCATTTAATGAATGAGCACTGTGCCACTGTGCGTCCGACTGTTTGAACTGTATTTTATATTTATTCTAAACTGTTTTAATTATTCTTATTTCTTTTGATTATTTTAATTTCTTCTAAGCAGTCAGGTGGTACAAATAAGAGCTCTGTAAGTTGTTTACGTTCATTATTATTGTAATGTTATGTGCTTTGAGACATGAGGTAATCTCATGCTTTCAAAGCTAGCTTGCTACTGCTAGCCTCTCTGAAATTGCCATCCCTACCTTTAAATGACAGTAGTATAATAACAGTACCTAGTAGTAATTATTCATTCATGACTGGTCCAGAATTAAATAAAGTGAAAAGTTATATAAACAAATTTTTGTTCACCTGTTCCAGCCCACCACTAAATCCTACATGTCTGAGATGGTTGGTGAGGAAGGTCTTGGGGCCTTTGGACGAGTCACGAGCAAAGAGGAGCCAGCAGAACTCTGGTACGTCAGAGCCCTTCTCCATATTGGAGTGCAACTGAACGGCAGTCCTCAGCATCAAGAACTTCAGCGCTTCCAGAAGCTCATACTCCTCATCATGACCTCTGAACACCTGCTGGCACATGCGCTCCCTCTCTTTAAGAGTTTTACACTCAACAGCCTCTTGCCACTAAAGACAAAGCAATACAATATTGTCAGGAGGTACAGTTAAGTTTGGGGTCAGTAAGATTTTAAAACTTTTATTTAGCAAAGACTTACTGATAAAAAATTACATTAAAGACATTTATCATGTTACTAATTATTTCCATTTCAAATGCTGTTCTTATGTTTATCAAAGGATCCTGAAAAAACATGTATCGTGGTTTCCACAAAATGTTAAGCAGCACAACTGTTTTTAGCATTGATAATAATAAGAAATGTTTCTTAAGCACCAAATCAGCAATTGGCTTTATGCACAGCTGCACTACTTCCTGAACTTCCTGAATTATTGGACAAACTGATTAATCCAGGTGTGCCTGATTATTGTTACTGAGGCCAGGCACACCTGGATTAATCAGTTTGTCCAATAATGGCAGACAGGAAACAAAGGAGCTGGCTGAAGTTCAGGAAGTAGTGAAGCTGTGGATAAAGCCTATTTAGAAGGATTTTTTAAGGATCATGTGACACTGAAGACTGGAGTAATGATGCTGAAAGAACAGCTTTGCCATCACAGGAATGCATTATATTTTAAAATATATTAAAATAGAAAACAGGTACATTTAACTATAATAATATTTTACAATATTAAAAAATGTTTCTGTCTTTTGATCAAATAAAAAAAAAGCATAAGAGTGAGCATGAGAGACTTAAATATAGATACATAAGAAATGAAGAAAAATAACAAAAGTAACCTTTTTCTTCAGTAATTCCAGACATTGTTCAAGATGCTGTACTGTGCTCGTCCTGCTTTCAAATGGAAACTGCCACTCCTTAATAAAATCCTTATCAGAATGCATTTCTTTTGGCCACTATAACAAGACATTCATAATGCACCAAATTAATTTAACACATAATAACATTCTATATTAATATGCTGCTTTGTGGAAGTCCTGAATTAGTAGGGATGTAATAAGGATGCCTAATGTCTCTAAACACAATAAGGCTAAATTACCTTAATGATGTCAGAGTCATGTAACCAGGCAGGAAGCTGTTTGGATTGGCTGAGCACCTGGAAGAGTGTCGCCCTCAGGGCACAATAGTTATCACCTCTTACTATGCATAGATTGAATTCACTGGCTATTGCTTCATACCCCTGAAAAAGATGTGGATGAGAGCAAGCTCCTTTAATAAACAGTAATGTGTGAGAGAAGAAGACTCACCTTTCGGATAAGCTGACTTTTAGTGGTATTGCCTTTCCATTCTCTCTCGCTGTAGGTTTGAAGATCCTCTGCAGCTGAAACACTGCTCTGGGCCTCACCAACAGCCACTGATGGGAATAAAGACACCTCTAGCTCAGACAAAAATAACCTCACAGACATACACTCCCCTAAAGGATTATTAGGAACACCATACCAGTGGCGGAACCAGAGGGGGGTCCGGGGTGGCACTGGACACCCCTGACATGCGATTGGCCACCCCGGGTGCCACCCCAAAATTGTATTTGCTACTGGCAGTTGCTGATGCTGATTTTTTTTTAAAAATTACGTTCACCGGCAGTGCGGCGCGCGCAGTTTTCAAACGGACGAGCAGAGGACGAGAGATGGTTGCAAGATACCGAACTTCACCGAATAAGAAAACATCATATTTGAAGTAAGCTTTTAAGGTTTAGCATCAGGGTGGTTTGCTCCCAATAGCCTACATTAGGCCTAATACACGCAGTACCTTGCCGTGTGTACGTTACAGTATACAAATGTTACGTCTAGCTAATGTGAGGATAGGAGATCAAAACGCAGGCAAAGAAGAGGAGAAACAAGCGATATCATAATGCGATCACTATAGGACTATGAAGCTTTATGGGAGTAGGTTGTTGATGGACTCGATCTACTGTGTTTTGATCATCATTATGAATCTTATCTAGATGTATAGTCTTTGATAAAAATGCGATTTTCTCAGCTTTTTGCTCATGTTGCTTTTTATGAAACTTGCCAACATTCAAGTGTTGATTAAAAAAAAAAAACGCACGAAGCTAGAATAACATTATTTTTTTGTTTTTGTTTTAAAAGCACAGGGTTTGTTCTTTCTTTTGGTATGTTCAGATATTCATATAACAAAATATTCTGGGGTGCCATGAAATTGTGAAAATTACCAAAACCAATTTTTTTTTTTTATACTGGCGAGAAAGAGTTAAATGTTGGTAATTGGATGATGATTAGAATATGAATATGATTGGAATCATATTTTAAATTTGTCATATTTTTGAACAGGGTCAATTAAACATGAAAAGAAAGGGAGAGATATCAGAGTTATTTTAAAATAAGCACAAACATAGTCCAGTCATTTTATGAAAAAAAGGTTGAACAAATTGCAACAGAAGCAAACTCAAATAATTTTGTATCCTCATTATGTCCTGAGTAAGGAAACAAAGTCCCTAAGAATCCCATTAGGGGAAAGTTTCAAAATCTGTTTCTGGGGATTCACTTTTTATTTTACTTACCTTTTGTCTTCTGCATTCTCCTTACCCTTGTCTCCTGTTCTTGCCTTAGACTCGTCCCCCAGAAACAGTCGCACAGACCCAGCCCCAAACCCCATCTCTTAATAATTAAAAAAGGCTGGTTTCTAAAGTACTTCTTCCTGCCTCTATGTATTAATGCTCATGGGTAGCCTAAATGAGTTCCATTCAGACCTTAACATTAAGTATTTTACTGTTATGTGTCAACAAGATTCAACAAGACATTTTCACCTGGCTAGACCCAATGTTTAGATCTGTTGTGGTATTTATGCAAATTAGCACATACGTAATTAGATTATGCACCGTTTGTCCATCTTAAACAATTCAAAAAAAACTTGGAATACCTTTTTTGTTTGTCTTGATGCAAGTAATCAACTCAGTAATTTTCATGGTGATATCTAAAGGTTAAACTTTTTACCCTATTCTCGTAAGAAAAAGAATGAATAGGCGTATGAATAGGCTATATTTGTTTTGTTTTTCTAAACTTTCCCTAATGGGATTCTTTGGGACTTTTTTTTCCTTACTCAGGACATATTGAGGATACAAAATCAGTTGAGTTTGCTTGTTGCAATTTGTTCAAGGTTGACCCCCATTTTGGCTTAAATTGACTGGACTAACAGGCAGATCAGGTGCAAACAGACCCCCCAGCCCTTGCATCACCACTGGCTAGTCAGAGTCAGTGTGGTCAGACTTCAGAACCAGCAACAGGTCAGAGCATCTACCACACACAGGCAGTCAATCACATACCCAATTCAGGAATTTAAGTTGAGATGATTTTGCCAGATTAAAAGGATAGTTCACCCAAAAATAAACAATTTTTTTTTTTATAAATTAAATAATTAGAATTATTATAAATTATTATAAAGAAAGAATTATGTTGTATTTAATCTTCCCAGGATAAGATTTTATATTGATGGGCAATAAAATTGTTTAACTTTTTCAAGGACATGTCTGCTTGATGCCTGCTATTTCTAATAAAAGATAAAATACAATAAAAAAATGTGTTTTGTAAATGTGAGTTTTTTTGTAAATAAATGCAGCAGTGCATAACAGACACATGCGGTATCTTATCTACTTGGTGCTTCAGCTTTGTTTTCTGCAAATATTTTGGATGTTCAACACTTATAGACACAAACAGAGTGACCCAATTCCTTCCACAAGCTTTTCCACTGTGTGTGTGTGTGTGTGTACTGTGTACCCCCGAAAGTAGCAGTGGCCACCCCCTGGCCACCCCATGTATAAAACTCTGGTTCCGCCACTGCACCATACTAATCCTGTGTTTGACCCCCTTTCGCCTTCAGAACTGCCTTAATTCTACGTGGCATTGATTCAACAAGGTGCTAAAAACATTCTTTAGAAATGTTGGCCCATATTGATAGGATAGCATCTTGCAGTTGCTAGAGATTTGTGGGATGCACATCCAGGGGACGAAGCTCCCGTTCCACCACATCCCAAAGATGCTCTTTTTGGTTGAGATCTGGTGACTGTGGGGGCCATTTTAGTACAGTGAACTCATTGTCATGTTCAAGAAACCAATTTGAAATGATTCGAGCTTTGTGACATGGTGCATTATCCTGCTGGAAGTAGCCATCAGAGGATGGGTACATGGTGGCCATAAAGGGATGGACATGGTCAGAAACAATGCTCAGGTAGGCTGTGGCATTTAAACGATGCCCAATTGGCACTAAGGGGCCTAAAGTGTGCCAAGAAAACATCCCCCACACCATTACACCACCACCACCAGCCTGCACAGTGGTAACAAGGCATGATGGATCCATGTTCTCATTCTGTTTACGCCAAATTCTGACTCTATCATCTGAATGTCTCAACAGAAATGGAGACTCATCAGACCAGGCAACATTTTTCCAGTCTTCATCTGTCCAATTTTGGTAAGCTCTTGCTAATTGTAGCCTCTTTTTCCTATTTTTAGTGGAGATGAGTGGTACCCGGTGGGGTCTTCTGCTGTTGTAGCCCATCCGCCTCAAGGTTGTGCGTGTTGTGGCTTCACAAATGCTTTGCTGCATACCTCGGTTGTAACGAGTGGTTATTTCAGTCAAAGTTGCTCTTCAATCAGCTTGAATCAGTCGGCCCATTCTCCTCTGACCTCTAGCATCAACAAGGCATTTTTGCCCACAGGACTGCCGCATACTGGATGTTTTTCCCTTTTCACACCATTCTTTGTAAACCCTAGAAATGGTTGTGCATGAAAATCCCAGTAACTGAGCAGATTGTGAAATACGGCCGTCTGGCACCAACAACCATGCCACGCTCAAAATTGCTTAAATCACCTTTCTTTCCCATTCTGACATTCAGTTTGGAGTTCAGGAGATTGTCTTGACCAGGACCACACCCCTAAATGCATTTAAGCAACTGCCATGTGATTGGTTGATTAGATAATTGCATTAATGAGAAATTGAACAGGTGTTCCTAATAATCCTTTAGGTGAGTGTATCTCCAACATTTTAATACAGACTGAACATTCAAAACTGGCCACTACCTGACTTTGACTGGTGCTTCTCCTGCAGTTCTTGTTCTATTTCCTCTTCTCCTCTGTACAGGTCCAGCTCACTAAGAAACAATAAGACTCACTGCAAAATGGTGCATAGTAACTTGTGTCACTTCCTTAATCTAGTAAATGGCGCATAATTTGTGTCACGTAACCATATATTTATGGTTATACATCTCTACTGCATGTGATTGAGTGATGCAGGAGAAAATGTAACGTGTCAAGTTACATTTTCTACATAGCAAGTAAAAAGAGTTTTATGTCAAAGCAAAATTAACCTGGTCTAAAAATGTATATTGTACATATTAGTGAATTGTCATTGTATAAAACCATATAAATTATTTGACCAAAGATTAGCTATTAATTATTAAAAGAAGCATTTTACCAAAACTAAAAGTGATAGTGAGTTTTCTCTTGAAATCCAAATGTAAAATTTGAAATGTAAATTAAATGTAAATGTATTCCCAAATGATTTGTCTTCCTCCTTGACATGACAAAGCTAGTTTAACCTTAATTTCACATGACAGTAGACATCCAGAATTATCCTTAGGAGTATTCATTTTATCTTCTGTAATTTATCTTTGACTTGAGTACTTTACACAGCCATACTGCACTGCATTGAATCAGCTGAATTGACAGGAAGGATTACCCTTTTTCATCTTCAGCAGACCTTGACGTCTTCATCAGATGTTGCTGGGATGAATTACTGTCACTATGAGTAGCTTTGGCCTCCTCCTGAGCACGTTTTTGCATACTGCGGGTAGATTCAGAGCTTCTCTTAGGTCCAGGAGAATAAGCATCCTTTCCAGCAGCCCGGCCCTTCACTTCTGCTTTCTGACCTTGAGTGCTCTGTGTCGACCTAAGAGAGGAGGACCAGTTATGTCCAACATGAAATAACATATGCTTAGATATAAAATATTTACAATTGACAAATATTATAATAACTTTCAACTTGCAATAAAAATAAATAAATCAGTGCTATGGCATACCCATTATTCTTTTTGGATTTTTTACTCTGACTCTTTTGGCCAGAATCAAACTTTGTTTTTTTGTTCATGACTTTTTTGGTTTTGTCAGTTTGGCGTTTCTGCACATCCTTCGTACCTGAATCATAATGACACATGGGCAGGGAGGTCCAACCTGCATCTCTGCATGGTGGGCTGATGCAGATGGGAAATACAAATAAATACTAAATATCAAACGTGAAGCTTGAAGGTGACTAACCTTACTTTTGCACTACTGCACATCACAATGCAAACAAACAGAAACACTTCCGCATTCAATCAGATTCCACAATATCATCAGTGACATTACCATTCCAAATAGAAAATAGTAATTATTAATGCAACGATTTACTAACCACACTCAGACAAAACTGCCAAAAAGGCGCTTGTATTTAACTGACCTGCTTTTACTCTCCAGTGTCCTCCCAAACGGGGACAATACAGACCCTACAAATACTTCCGGTGAATGGGGGATTAAGGGAAATGTAGTTTTCCGGAAATTCCGGCGCGCACGCGCAGCCGCTTCGTGTTGGCATGTCCGCTAAGCTTGTTTGTTTATGAAGTTTTTGTGCCTGCTTACGGCATAATGTGGCATGTTTGGTCTTAAGTGTTTGGTCACCATAGCTCAATAAAATATGACCGTTTTATCGGCATTTAGTGGAAAATATCTCAGAATGCTGTTCTTCTTTTTCTGGTAACACTTTGCTGTAATATATAATTTATTTATTTATTTAGGTCATTTTATATATATATATATATATATATATAAGTCATACATAAATAAGCCAATATATTATTGAAGAAATGTAACACTCTACCTAGAAACACCAAAACAAGTTGTCTTAGAGCCGTTAAATAATCGACTACTTTTTTCTTCCACTAGATGACAGCATTTAGTTTATTCAGAATTGTTGTAGTAGCCTAGGGCAGGCTATAACATTTCTAATAGTAATGAATAAAAATAGTGAATCCTTTATATTATATAGCTGCTAGCTACTGCATTAAAATAAATGAAACATTAGAAATAAAAAAGGCAACAGAGAAATGCAATTTATTAACATTTCTTAATTAAAAAAATCGGGTGGTGAATGCGACCACACTGCGCCTGTTAGGCCTTCGCCATCAAGGGTGCATCAAAAGTATGCAACAGCAGGGAGGGATTGGAGCGTAAAGCGTGAGCAAAAGAGTGAATAAAAGCAACCACAAGATGCAGTAGAGCACATTATTGTGACGCACATTTTCGAGGCATCCTCATCGTCATACACGTGCTAATATTATAATGTTCACCGAAAAAAATAAAGATTAATTTGTCAAACATATTTGATATCCAGCATCTTAATAACGAATAGTGTGTTGTTGGTGAGTGTTCTCTGTGGCGCGCGCTGTGGCTTTAAATGTCGCTCCTCCCCCTTCGCTCTCCTCTGCTCTGGAGGTGCTGAAACGTCGCCTTTCTCGTCTCAGAGCACTAGCAGCCATGGCTGAAATTAAGACGGGCATATTTGCCAAAAACGTCCAAAAGAGGCTCAGTCGGGCACAGGAAAAGGTATGGGTCTAATTATGTTCTTATTTGTGATGGATCAAAAATGACTTGATTCTTAGAGGACGTTTGATAAAGCAAAATGCAGCATTTTGTCTTCGTGGAGCTGTCCAGCAGATGCTCCGGGTAGGGGAAGGAGATTCAGGTGTGCGATTGAACCTGAAATAATTTAGGTTAGAGGAAACTGTGTTTTCATTTGTCCTTTCTCACATGCATAGTTTACATTTTCAGTGCATCAGACCTTCAACATCATTGCTGGCGTCAGAAATGCGCAGACTGCAATCTTAGCCAGCACTGCCATTTAAAAGCGACTATGAGAAGCTCTCCATGACTGAAATCCCACTTAAACCTTCGAGGAATTATCATTATCATACTTTGTGGCCTAAATATATTATGTACTACGTTCTTGTTGGAGAAATGATTGATCTCAGTTTGAAAACCTTGTATGACTAGATCATAATGTGTCACAGTTATTGTAGCCTATGTCATACTGCCTAGCTATTCGTTCTTATTTTGGCTAGGTGTTATTCAATATCGATTTGCCTGGCATTTCTGACGATGTAATTCATTATTACCCAAGATGTTGGTTGAAGCTGTCATTTTCCTGCAAGGTCAGGAGAAGGGGAGGTGGGGGATGCCCTCGTCTATGCGGTATGAATACTAGCACGGGAGATTTCCTAGTGGCCACGAGATCGTGAAGGCCGCTTAATGTGGTTGTAGAGAGAGAGACACGCTGCAGTCTCGCTCTGTTTAAAACGAGAAATAGGCCAAATAGACGAGGATGTCTATCGCTTTCGAGTGGTGTCTTTGACAATGGTATTCAGTTGCAGAATGGGATTTGGTTATGGGGTTATACGGATTTTTTCCTGCGGAATAATTTGCAGTTGGTAGCGAACTGAAAATGAAATGTCTGTCAGCTAGTAAACTGAAGGCGTCTGGTAAACAGAGCAGTAGTGGTTTCCCCAGCCCGAGCCGAGCTGCAGTAAGAGGATTGCTTTTCTTTTAATACCCACGGTTCACTCACAGACCGAGGGCCAGCTGTAGTGAGACATCGAAAGTGAAGATTCCATTGAAATCCGTGTTTCATGTTTTCATGTATGAACTGGGTGTCACTCGTTGCGGTGGTGTTTTTCAGGGTGAACTGTGCAAAAGGCGGACAGTTTTTGGTAGATGCGTGATAGAGACTTAATAAGCTTTACATCCTCTGCCTGCCTTTGGAGTTGCTAAACCCCTCCTAAATGTAAATAGATAAAAGCAATTAAAATATTTTCTTCATTTAAATTAGTTAATTACATGTCACATGTCTATTTAAAGTGGCCAAGCTGGCTTTTAACATTAGTTGCTTTAGTTGGTTTGTTACTGGTGCAAGACTTGACCAGCTTGACAAAGATCTATTATGTTATAGGTCATGTTAGTTCTTAGTAGTATAATTATTAGTGGTCATTATCCATCAGAACAATTTAGAAATGTCCCATTATAGATGAATGTGCCATTATACTGACCAAATACTCAAATATTTTAAGATACAGCAAAACCATTGCAACAATGTTTTTTGTAACTGGCCATTCAACTATCATGAAAAATGACTCCCCAACCCCAGAAACTGCAATACAAGTTTATATTCTTTATTGAGGCTTATTTTTAAGAGTGCTGTGTGCAGTTCTTGCTGAGACAATTTAGACATCAAAACTACAACCACTACAATGACATCAGGCAAATGAAAACATTTTCATAATGAGGATCCTCGTGGCAGTTATTAATGACTGTTATATTTGATTGCCTCGTGGTATTTAAGAAACAATCAATCATGACACTTATTTTTCCCACTTTCTACCTGATAAATTGTTCTAATGAAAAGCAGAGCTTTGGTATGTTGCCAACTACAGAGAATAATATTTCCCTAAATTTATATTATATTAAATATTTGTCATATTTTATTATCATTTTTTTCTAGGTTCTATAGTTTATTAATATTACCATTTGATGATGCATTTTTGAAGCCATGCAGACACATATCAAATCTGATCTGATTTCATAAGAGCATCATGAAGCCACACAGTTCAGCCTGAATGTTCACAATCTCTATCAATGTAACATGATTCCCATTAGAGAGTTAAGACCAGCACATTTAAGAGCAGGTATACAATTTACTGCCTCTGGAACAGAATATCCTGGCCAGGCCAGATAACATGATAAGGGGTGTAAGAGATCCTTTAATCTGAGTTCTGGTGGGGACAGAATACCTCATATCAAGAGGGATCACTCATAATCCTGTTGCATATACTGTCAGAGGAATATTGCAGCATTGTGACAGTGTAATTGTGAACTGGATGCAGCATTGATTGTACTAAGTGCTGTGACTTAATGTTTTACAAATATTTTCAATGCATTTGTAAAGCAGAATGACGGTGAAAACGCATGTAAATTGATTTGTCATTTTCTCTTGTGTATTGCAGGATAAATATGAGCATCCACATCTTGGGAAATCATGTATAATTGTTGGAATGGCACTGTTCCATTTGCTATAAGAGATTTGCTTTTCCACTTTGTTTAGCAAAGCTTTGAGATTAATTGTTCTTTTTTTTGGGGGGGGGGGGGGGGCGGGGGGGTGGTAAACATTATAAAACACTTTTTGAAAGAACATTTGTCAACATAAAATTGAGGACATTACTCCCCTGAATGGATGAGACAGGGTGGAGTGTCTGTTTTTTAGGCTTAAGCTGTGTTAATATTTCATAGGCTGGCTGCTTCTGGTGTATAGTGTTTCCATGCTTCGGCATTGTGTCTTAGGTTAGTACCATTTGCCTTCTGGAGAGTTAGGTGTTGATTCTCAGACTCTAGATGTGAGGTTTACGACATTTTTAAGAATTGAAATACAGATGAGCACATACCAGCGTGATTTTGGTCTTTATATTTGGCTATTCTATATTTAAAGTAATGTTACTTTTGGTTCCTTTATTAATAACAGCAGAATAATACTCGGACCTCTTTTTTAAATCTATTTTAAAAATATTTGTGTGCATTATTAAAGTATTGAGCCTGATTAGCGAGCATTACTAGAAAGCATTATTAGAGAGCATTACATGTATTGCATGAATGTTACGTCTACAATGTATCTTTGTGATGCATATTTCCTGATGTCATTTACAGTATATCTATCATGGGATGTTGGTGTCACAACACACTACCTATTGCTCCATATCAAAGCCTCTACTAACATGTGTGAGTGTGTTACAAAGAAAAGACCCAGATGGCACGTTCTTTCCACCCAGGAGTAATGTGGAGCTTTTGTATGTGACATTATTCATGTTCCCAGGGGGCCGTTCCTGTGGTTTACTGACTGAGCCCTGTGCCATATACTCTCACTTTTACACATGATGGGAGCTATTGTCTTTACTGTACTGTATAGTTTACTGTATTGTAATAAACACGTCAATTATGTTTGTATAATTGTAACAATTGCTTAAACGTACCACTTTATCTTTTTCAGCAAGTGTCTCAATTGCCCTCTGTAACATTGTTTTAACACCTTCAGTTTGTATGTAAATGCAAAACGCCTGTTGAGCCAATAAATGAATAAATTGTTCAGCAAAATATAAATTAGCAATACAATACATTTGAATTTGTCAATTTTATCAGTTGGTTTTTTTTATGGTTTTATATTATGCTATATATTATAATAAACTATACTATAATATACTATTCTAAACTATACTATAAACTACGGGCCAGAATTACTAAACAAGGCAAATTAATATGAGAGAGCAATTCCATAAAACCGCCGATGATAGTGGAAAATTCTGTGCG